GTGAAGATCACATGCAGGGATGGAAAAAATACTGTAAAATATTTTATTTTCACTGGAATTAATGGAAAAGATGTTTTAGGTGTTTTGTATGGAATTTATTTTCACTGATTTTCGGCGAGTTGAATGTAAAAGATAGGAAAAAAGGTATATTCGGTGGATTTTATTTTCACTGCTTCATTCCTTCAACGAAAATAGCGAAAATTAATTCCAAGTGAAAATAAAGTATTTTACAGTAGACCAGAGAGTACAAGTGTTGAGTTTTTTTATACGAAGAAAGGGTAGAAGTGTAGTTGTCTCAGCGTCAATCAATCGAAGGTGGGAGTGCGAATTCTTCAATATTACAATGGCTCAATATATTTTCCGCAGGCCAACCAGATACTTGCGAGAGTAGTGCAAATATTGAAGCTTTAATAAAATACTACCCAGAAGGTCAGGATTACATCACTATGCAACCAGGTGCAGCCTGTGATAACTTCCAAGGTTATTGTGATGTCTTGGATAAATGTCGTCTAGTTGATGCTGATGGGCCCTTAGCAAGACTGAAGAATGCCATCTTCAATCCAGAGGTGTACCAGGACATTGCAGATTGGGTCACGGTGAGTACTTATTACACAACATACTGCAGAATACACCCTCCTATAAAACCATGGTTTTGTAAGCTGATTATCTTCAGTGTTAAACTGGACGAGTATGGTCAATAAAATTAAACCCAGTCAGTTTTCATCTCAGTATTGCTCCTAAAGATTTCCAGACCAATCACATTCAGACATTTTCGAAATTTGACTGTTTTGTTTGAGGGGTTATAACAAATTCAAATATAAGTACGGTAGTCGTACTGCTATTTCCAGAAAAAATTTGAATTGGTGACTTAAAATATCAAATTTATTTTTGTTTTGGGGGGAAATTTCTGAAAACTCTCATTTATATCTTGATTATAACTGTATGGCTCCTACCGTACTTACTTAATTTTTGCTATTTTCGCTGAAGGAATGATTCAGTGAAAATAAAAACCCGCGAATAT